TCAGCGCATGTGCACTCTTGCACCCTCTCTTGCTTTGCGTGCGCTAGACCGTTGCGCGCGCTAAACTAAAATTATCTAATGTTTACGTTCAAGTGGCCTACTATAGTATAAGCGGAACTGTGATTTAGCTTAGATGAAACATAATGATCTTGAAGGTTTTGAGCAGGCACAGTGTGACAAAAATAAAATACGTAAGCAAGTGCCATATAACGACTGTTTTTTTTTTTTGGAACTTACGTTCACTTAAAAAAATCCTCATGTCTGCGCAATCTGGCGAAAAGAAAACGTGGCTAGTTTCCCTTCGTAGGCATTGATATAACTCGAGCATTGGTATAACAGTGCTTTTTAATGAAAGAAACCGAGTCTCAATCAAGAAGGGTGTAAGGCAGGTGGTTACGATCACCCCAATGCTATTTACCGCATGCCTACAGGTGGTTTTCAGAGGCCTAGAATGGGAAGAGTAACTCAGGGGACGGATAATTATAGAGTTAGAGAAGGAGAGCAGAAAGGTAGGTCTTAAAACTATTTTGCAGAAAACGAAAATAATGTACAACAACCTCGGAACAGAATTGCCCTTCGAGATAGGTAATTGTGCACTAGAAGTTGTAAAACACTATGTCGACTTAGGACAGGTAATAACTGCGGAGCCGAACCACAAAGTTGAAGTAACTAGAATAACAATGGGGCGAAGCACATCTGACAAGCACTCTCAAATCACGACAGGCAGATTGCCAGTATCCCTCAAGAGGTAGGAATATATTAAGACGATCGATATCAAGACTGCTTTGAACGAATACGGTTTATTAGAAGAAGTGAAGTAGCACACGCTCGCTCCAGGCTTGTGGCGTTTGAAGATGATATTTTATAGTATATAACAGCTAAATCTTACCGGTACTCAGCTACGGAGGAGAGGCCTGGAGACTTACAAAGAGGGTTCCGCTTAAACTGAGAACAACGCAGCGAGCAATCGAAAGAAAAATGGTATGTGTAATTGTAAGAGACGAGAAGAAAGCAGGATGGATCAGGGAACAAACCGGGGTTAAAGATATCATCGTTGAATGCAAGAACTGGAAATGGACATGGGCCGGGCAATAGCGCGTCGACAGGATAACCGCTGGTTATTAAGGCAAGCGTATTATAGAGGTAGACAGAAAGTTAGGTGAGCACATGAGATTAAGAAGTTTGCGGGTATAAAATGGCAGCAGCAAGCACATGAGTGAGTTTACTGGCAGAACATGGCAGAAGCTTTTGTCCTGCAGTGGACGTAGTCAGGCTCATGATAATGAGGATGATGACGATGATAACACGAAAGTGAAATATGTTTTCACACAGGTAGTTGAGCGCTTATTGTGCACAGTTTAGCAACAAGAGTCAAAGAAATAATGCCAGAGCTACAAATTGCGAAATCACGCGAAGGAAAGCAAGCAGCTCAAAACGTACAGCACGCAGCTCAAGCAGAAAGCACGCACAAAATGGGCAAACACAGGACGAGGGCGGAATAACTACTAACGCAGCTCGACCCTTAATGCGGGCTGTTCAACCAGAAAGGCGCATGAAACGAACGCACAAGGTACACAGAATGAGCGTGAACAACTGCCACAATTCTTGCACATTTCTTTAAGAGCAGCGTTTTCTTTTCGTAAACGCAGCTGCGGAAGCAAGAGAACTGACCTTTGTGCCCTTTAGAATAATGCGTCTGGTAAGCGTGCGCGTAGGAGAGACCATGCGCCTCGGAGACGGCGCTCAACGAAACGCGAAAAGCGACGACTTTAGCTCCCGCGACGCAAACACGTCGCGCCATCTCGCTACTGATGACTGAAATACGCTGAAGAGGCTGAGCTCTGAAGACTGCCAAATGGTATATGGTGTATATGAATGGCTTGCCGTTAGCAGCCATGACAACGTACGCCTTTAGTTCAACCTTACTGGGGATGATTTCATAGATTAAAAAAAAGTACGCTTTGAGGTGCAGTGTTTAGCGCGCGCGCTAAATCGTGAGGTCAACGCATGTTGTTCAGCAGGTGTCATGGCGAAAACAAGCTCATTTGGCAATTTGTAGGCGCCTTTGAGAGGCCTGAAATAAGTAGAAAGAGGCCGAGATAGTGGAGCCATCACCGCTAAAAACACACAGGAACTTTCAAACAGCTCTAAAAATAGAAAACTGTGTCGATCTAGCGGAAAACCTATCATGACTTTCCAGAGGCGTTGATCAAGCAAATGGCAAACGCTAGATAATTTGCAGCCATCTGTGAGGCATTGTGAGACCCTTTATGGCCTCCAAGATGGCGAACGCGCGGCATGTATCTTGAGGCTTTGCGACTCTGGCTTTAGATAAAAAAAATGTATGTTACATTTGCGCGCGCGCGCTGGTACAATCTACAGTGTGCGTGTGTGTGTATGTAACAAAACGTTATTAGGTATGCCCTTTGCAGTTGAAGGGCGCACTAAGGGCCAGATTTACCATTGCTTTTAACTCTGAAAGGTGAAGCTAAGGGTCTCCAAACTCTCTTTGTTTCGCAATACCATAATATAGCAATAATAAAATATTTGTTGCGGGGTCGTGGACAAGAGTGCCGCTCTTAAAACGCACGCACAGAGAGATGCACTATAATCAATCCATACATCGTGTCAATCATCCATAATCAATCCATACATTCAACAGCCTTTACAAACAACAATATCGCCAGCCGATCAAAAACCTCCCTGGTGACGCGCTAGAAAGAACCTTATACAATATTCCTAATAAGACACTCAAATAGAATAATTAACAGAAGGTTACGCGAAGATGCCATTTCCAATGATCGAATCACCACAAGGCACCTACGGGGCACGGCCCACAGTTTTCGCATGCCGCGAATCCCTGTGAAAAGATGACCAATCGCGCCAGCCGGTTCACGCCATAGAGAGGCCCAAATCTTCTCTGTGTGGCCACCTAGCCTCGCCGCTGGGTGGCACTACCAGCGCTATTGATGATTATGATTCAACGCAAGCACAACGCAACATCTCGCTTTGCGGCATGCCACCTCTCCGAGAGACACGTGTGGGCCACGAAGAGGCGGAAAATACTTAACTGGTGTTGATTGCACCCACATACTCTACGGCTCCTTGAACTTTAGAGAAATAATCACATCACTGTTTATCAGATATTCTATATATCCTTGCTCTGTATTCATCAGTTCGATAAATGTGTAATATTGTGCTGGGAGTTTGAGCAACGACTATCTGCCCGACACTATAAGCCAGCATTATGGTCTCCTTAGTAAAGAAAACACCAAGAAAATTTGAACACATTTGCTTGAACGACTGCAACTTCTTTATTTATTACAAACTTACTTTATGAGCACACTGTTCCACTATTGCTGTTCGGTTTACTTTTGCCGTTTCTGTCTTCGGCAAGGAGTCGAACAGAAAGACGCCTCCGTAAAGGTGCTTGTGGATAGCCAGTTTTCCTGCGAAGAGATATTGCAGAATTGCTCAGCCATAGCAACTATAACTAGGCCTCAGCAAATATAAACTAATAAAACGCTTCAACAATTTCTAGCTACCACGGCTTTCCCTCCAATCGCTCACTCTCGTAACTGTAACCTTCGTTGCTACTGCACGCCTTTCTCTCTGGCCGGGAAACACACAGCAGGTTTTATGTTCAATATATTGGGAGGGCACAAGATTCACGCGCTTTTATATTAGAACGAAATCTTCCGAAGCATAACTTCCTGAAACTAACTAGAGGGACTCTGGCGCTACGATTGTTCCACCCCCATGGGAATGACGGGTAGTACACTAATTTGCCTAGTCTTCGTGCCTGCGAGCTTCGAACGCACTGGCGGCTATGTTTATTCTTCTGGTTTGTTTTTGTTCGAAGTAAAAGAGCAAACGTTTGTAAACTTCATGAACTTCATGACGTGAACTTCAGTGAGTTGCAACTGCTGCACATTTCCCGATGGTCGTCCCGTTACAAAGTGGCTCAGGCCACACGAAATCAAACGGAGCCGATAGAACAAATTATACAAATTTCTGTACTACTTATCATTCTCCTGCTGGCTTAAGCACTACGCCTTGCAAATAATATAGACACTAGCGTCAGAGTTCCCTCTAGTGTACATTTAAAGAATCATATATTTAACAGTATGCCCACTAATATCGCAGCTATTGAGGGCGTCCAAACTTAGTGCTTTTCGGAAAGTGAGAACGACACTCTAATCATGGTGAAATAATATTGCAAGAGAAGGTATCCTCGAAAGAACTTTTATTTACGCTGAAAATTACTTACAGTGACAACTTATCTGAGGCAAATCTCCTTTGCATACCACTCGACATGCCATTATGGTTGTTTTTTTTTGCGGTACTTTTTGTAAGCTGGTTCACCCGTACGTGTCTACATGTTCAGACGAAACTTGTCCTAAGTGCTTCCCTGAGCCAGCAATACACGTAACTCAACTGAGACATCGGAATACTTAGCCGGAAGTGAACAGCTTTAGAAATGGTAAATAGACACTGGTAAACGAAACCTGGAAATACTTAGTACGCGCAACCCCATCTGCCGCAATGTCGCTGGGGTAAAACAGCTCAAGATAACTAAGATACACACCAGCCCTTTTCTACCAAGCCGATTTCTAGGAATGAGATCACGAGGTAAATCAAGATTTTGCAAGGGCCCTCTTGGTAAACAACTCTATGTAAACGTACATAACTTTCGTCTCTGCGTTATAGCGGAACCAGTTTTTGAAGAACCTAGATCAGCCTACAGACTAATGTAACGCCAGTGTTAATGCTAGATCAGCGCATCACTCTCAGCCCGCACCTCCATTCTGAAGAATGACACCTGATAAGAATGCACAGATATACACACAACACGCACACATTTAAAGCTGGCGCAGTTATTACTTCTTCCTATTTGATCAGCAGATGTTGACTACACCAGCGTCTCCTCACTGAACATAACGGCGCGTGGAGTGTCCCTCAGCGCCTCCTGCGGTATGGCGTTAGATGCACTGCTTGTCCGGAATCGCACACTGCGAATTGGTACGAAAATAGGCCTCTCTTCCATGCGCCTCTCAAAAATAGCTGAAACAAGATCTAGTAGCGCTGCTTTAAAGCGCACCCTTAGCACAATCTGGAGGGTGGTACTGAACACACCGAAGCGTTCCGAGATCTGCGTACCAGCAGCGGTAAATGCTCACCGTTACCATTTCAAGTACCCAGTGGCACGTGGCAGCGCTTTCTAAAGCGGTAGGCTGCGGAGTCAGGAGTCACAGATTCAAATCTCAACAGCGCATGTCGCAAATTTATTCTACCGATTTATTTTTGTTTGTGGCTTTACTTACCTACCTATCTTAGCCACCCACCTATCTACCTACCTACCTACCTACCTACCTACATACCTACCTACGTATGTAGATACGCACATGCGCACATACATACATACGTACATACATACATACATACATACATACATACATACATACATACATACATACATACATACATACATGTCACAGATATATGCGTAGAAGAGAACGACATTCGAGGTGTTTTGCAGACTCCTGGTAGCGGGACAATAGGTTTAGAAAAGAAAGACGAAGATGGTCTTCGGCATACAGTTGATTTTGAAACAAGGATCATTATCATCATTAACATCAGCATCATCATCAAACAGCCTGTTTCACCGTCGCAAGCTGTTTCTAATAATTTTTGTTCTCGCTACACCACAACACTGGTGGACGTGCTGGCTTGTAACCCCGCCTGATGCTCTACACTCCCATGGGAAGCCGTTCATCTAGCCCGGACGCAATTGTAGAAACTCCCGTGCGTCGCTTCAGTCGTCGCTTGTGAGGCCTCCTCCAGAGTTCACCCCTACGCATGAGCCGCCCCCCCCCCCCCCAAGGCACCGCTCACCTCTTCCAATGGCCACCGCCAGTCCACAACAGTTACTACGAGACATTAGTCCGCCAACCCCATCTCAGGTAACCCTTTTTTCGCCATTGGTGCCTGATCGCTTTGGCGGTGGCGCACATTAAGGTGTGGAAGGCTGGCTTGATCAATATATGAACGTGTCGCCAACATCAATCTGTGGTCTCTTGAACAAAGGCTCCCCCGTGCCTATTTCTATCTTGACGACAGTGCTCGTACTTGGTATGAGAACAGAGAAAGCAGTTTGTCAACATGGAGTCACTTTAAACAGCTGATGATTGACACACTTGCCCCTGTCGACCGGCGTGACCGCGCACAGCAATTACTCGAGCTACAGGTTCAGAAACCCAATGAAACAGTCAAAATATTTGCTGCGTACATGGCCCGTCTCTTCCGTAGAGCTGACCCGCACATGACCGGTGACAAAAAGTCGCGCTACCCCATGCGAGGCATTAAGCAGCTGTTGTTTGCCGGACTTTACGCAACCCACCAAGCACCGTGACAGACTTCATCAAAGAAGCTACGGCTATCGAACGGGCGCTTCACCTACGATGCCGACAGTACGATCGCTTGTGCAACAGCGCCCACAATCAAGTCACCACTACGACGTCGGACAATCATACATCATTACGCGATTCATAAGAGAGATTGTTCGCGAAGAGCTGCTGAAGTTGTGGACACCGGTCGCGGACACACCCACGGCGTCTGTCACTGAAGTCGTTTGCGAAGAAATACGCCAAGCGTTTTTAACAACTGATCCTGCTCACGATAAACGACCCATGAGCTTCGCAGCCGCGCTTCGCCGCCCGCCAACGGTTGCGCAGTCGTGCCATCAGCAGCCCTTCTTTGGTCACCACCACACGAACAGACACCACGACGCCCTGCCATCATGCCGCCGTACGAAGAGCCGTCTCCCGACATGACGTGGCGTTCACCACATTACGAGCCGTTGCGGCGTCCACAGCTTCGAAAAACAGGCACCCGGCGCACTGTAGACAGGCGTCCGCTTTGTTTTAACTGCGGAGGTGTGGGCCACATTTCCCGTCTTTTCTGGCACCACGTCAATACATTTCATACTTTCGGCCATCGTCTGACAATCGACGCCCCAGCGACGACTACGCACCATGCCTGGAGGACGCCGATTCTCCAGGACCCCCTTGTCTCGGTCCTATTTGACAACCACCGTGCCAACAATGACGACAGTGTGCTTGACTATCAGCCAGGTTTGGGACGTCAACCACGCTCTCCGTCCTATTCACCTTCGTCACACCACCACACTACTGCTGAGGTCAGTGGAAGGAGGTCACCCATACTGAAGGCGGTGACCTCCGAGGGTGGAGTTGCAGGCCGTCTAGGCGAAAAAAAGGCCCCTGTAACTCTTAACACAAGACGCCGTAAAGCCGACTAGTCATAACACCGACGAAACTGACGACAGATCTTACCGTTTTTGTAGATGGACAGCAAGTAACAGCCCCTGTAGACACTGGTGCCGACTTTTCTATTATTAGCGATAACTTCGCCGTATGCCTCAGGAAAGTAAAGACTACGTGGACGGAACCTCACTTGAGAATGGCAGGCGGCGAACTGTTGATGCCTGTCGGAAGGTGCACAGAAAGACTCGACATCGGTGGTTCTTTCTTCGAGTTAACGTTCGTCATCCTGACCTCATGCTGCAAGGACCTGATCATAGAAATTGACTTCTTAACAGAATATGGCGCTGTCATCAACATCCCTGACTGTTCAATCAAGGTACGCAACAGCCCTAGTTTAGTCGACTGTTCAGGCGCGATACGTAACACTTCACGTATAACTGATGATGATGTGGTCGTCCCGCCACGGTTAGGCACTCTTGTTTTGGTGGAAGGGCACAAATCGTTTGACGGTGAAGGTATTGCCGACCGAACTGGCTCGCTACTATTTAGCTATGGCATTTCAATTGCACGAGGTATCGTCCGTTTCACTGGTGGACGCACAAACTTGCTGTTGACCAGCTTTAATGTTTAGCGACGGTGCCTTCCAAAGGACACAGCTATCAGCTCGTTCGACAATATCGTAAAATTGCAAGGCAGTTTATGTTTCTCAGTATTGGACGAAGCACCTGATCAAGAACCAGAACACGTATTTGACGTTGGCCCCTCTCTGTCAAAGGACGACCGCCGGAGACTTCTTCAGCTGCCAGCCGAATTCAGAGACTGCTTTTCTTCGACATCATGAGTCGGTCGAACACTATTGACAAAACATCGAATAATCACTAAAGACATGGCGAGACCTATTCACCAGAATCCTTATCGTGTAGCTCTAAAGGAACGCGAAGTCATACAGTAACAAGTCGCGAAAATGCTCGAAGATGACGTTATTCAACCGTCACAGAGCCCCAGGGCATCCCCTGTAGTGCTTGTAAAGAAAAAAGACAGCACCCTGCGTTTTTGAGTAAACAACAGAAATATTAATCAGGTGACCAAGGAAGTTGTGTACCCACTCCCACATATCGATCACTCCCTTGACAGGCTTCGGCACGCTTGCTAATTTTCTTCCATGAACTTGAGTGGATACTGGCAGATCGAGAAAGACCCAAGACAACAGAAGAAAACCGCTTTTGTGACGCCAAATGGTTTATATGAATTTAACGTCTTGCCTTTCGGTTTGTGTTCCACTCCCACGACTTTTCAAATGCTCATGGACACCATACTTTCGGGACATACATACATACATACATACATACATACATACATACATACATACATACATACATACATACATACATGCATACATGCATACATACGAGACATGCCCATGACGACAGAAATTCGTCGAGTCTCGATATAATTTTTGTAGCTGTTTGTCAAATTTCTATGCCCATCTACTATGGTGTCGGAAAGAGACGACCAGTATTCAAAATATATAAAGAAACACTATTGGCATAAAAGCGGAACCGCACCTGAAATGGTAGCCTTAATCTGATCCGCCAAGAGCCCCGCGGCCTTGCGACACACGTACTGGTCCCGGGGCACTACCACAGCCGCTGGTGCTTCTCCGTATAAAGGGTGCGGTAGCCCCACCACTGTCACTTCGGCAATGTCTTCGGAGTGCTCCTGAAGCAGCAATTGCTCAAGCTCAGCAGGAACAACTTGGTTGTCCATGCATTTTATCATCTCTTTCAGCCTCTGGACGAAATAGGAACGCCCATCCTCGTCGTAATAACCAATGTCACCTGAAAAAAATCGAAGCAAGAGCACTATGAGTTTTTTGAGAGACAAGTTAAGCACCTCTCGCGCATTTTAGATAACTGAATAATGACCCATCTTTGTGGCACTGGTTTGCAGTCATAAACATGAATGGCCTGATTTTCCCCAGAGATCACAGGATTGCTCCTTCTCGAAACAGTGTTTTAGGTATTATGACGAACCTTTAACTCTTAATGCGCGTGGTGCAATATGCGAGAAAAGTACTAACGGTTCAAGTAAAAAATCCAACCAGCACGGCTGTCATTCGCAAGTGATGGACAGAAGCGCCGCGGTTTTGTGGTTGAAGTTAACTGATTAGAAATGGGCTGCTGATTTTAAAAAAAACTAATTTATCCTCCATTGGAGCAAAAAAAAAACACAGGCCAGGATCACACGATCGAATGACTGTTCAGCTGCACGGAGATGCTTTCTGTGCTTTAGACAGTATTTGTATGTTTACTGTGCCTCCGGGATGACTCATTGCTCTCTCATAGTTGAGTATGATGTACTTGAAATCGTCAAACACTTTTCATAAACACACGGCATTCTCTTACTATAGAGAAATCGGCGAACACTCCGACATGTGTGGCACTGTTATGACATAGTATAGTGACGCGAGGACTGAGAGTCAAGGTACCACTTTGCAAAGGAAATATGGATCGATATAATGGGCCACTAAACAGCTAAATTAATTTTCGCGCAATAATAAAGTACATTTAGAAAATCCCGCAAACAGCACTATTACCGCATCATGGCACTTGGTAAGCTAGAAAACAAGGGAGCCTTCATGTGCGCGCGTCTCCGTGTTTTAGGGTGGTGTCAGCCTTTTACCGGACACTTGCCGCCACCCGCTAAAGCACCATGTTGCCAGTCCCGGTTTCTATGCCTACTATCGCCATGTTGCTTCTTGCAGCCAGGCGTTTCTGCTCCGCCGCACTGCACCAGCTGCATATTGGCGCGGGTGTGCAAGCTGCGGTATGAGCTACGTTTGGCTACACCGTAGACGTAGCTTACGCTACGACACCACTCTTGCACTAAGCGCACCTACAAGGACTTTGAAGTGTAAATGCAAGGGTGCTGCATGCTGCAATACAAAACCACCTGAAGACTGTCCCGCTTCCCGACTTGCTCTAGCCAAGGGAAACGCTGGATTACACATATGAAGTGAGACTGCTTGGAGCCAACTACTTCTCCCTGTCTTTGTGAGGTGAACACCCGTTGTATTGCGAGAGGGTTGAGTATATAACCGCACATCTCTTGAAAGGGCTGACTTAGCCATGCGAGAAAAAGCAAAATGAGCAAAGTGAACACGACAACGTGCACAGTATATAAATGAATCAGGCTTCGTTCGGCTACGCCGGGCTATGCAAGTGAAAGCTGGTTGAGTATGCTTGTTTATCCTCGTAGTCGAAGCACGGTCGACCAATAGAATGATATGACTAGTCGAATGTGTGGTCCTGCATGCATTCCATATCTGCGCTTTATCGGTTTCCGAAACCGTCACCGCATTCGTTGTTGAAAACGCCAGGCCCGTGAACCACCTACAAACGCTCGCGTTCACGTCTTACTTTGCTGGCAGGTGTTCGGGGTTCCTGCAATTTCTCCTAGGTCACTGAGGAAGGGCATTTGTAGAGGCAGGCAGACGAGCCGACGACCGCGTTCTCTGTAGACTCTTGTAGTCTTGCTCATTTGCAACACAACTAAATTTTGTGCGACTTGCCATGAGGTATTCGTTCTTCCCTTCAATCATACGCACAACCACACCAAAACTCGCTCACATAGAATGTGACAGATTAATGTTTGCATCCGTCCGTCCTTCTGTCTGTCTGTCGGTCCTGAATGGTGCAGCATATGTGCACTAAGCAAGTTAGTTGTTGGCCCATAACTCAAATATGCACTATGTTCTGCATCGTAATTTTTGTCGTTCTTTTGTTTCATAACGAGCCACATAGATGATTTGATGTCGTAAACTGAGTTTTTATTTAGTGCTTGTAGAGAAAATGAGTATGGACTCCCTATGCGTCGTCGGGGCCGCGTGTGAATTTTCGTTTTCTTGGTGTATCTCAGGCCCACTGCGAGGACACGAGCCTTTGGCAGTGGAGGCTGGACGGTTTGAAGAAATTAGGGTCATACGCCGTTTAGATGCTGTTAGCAATAAACTATGACGTGAAAAAACTTGGTTTTCCTGTTGTTGCAGTCCTTTGTTTTTCTTTTAGCCTAATATACAGGCTTTTGTGGGGGGAGGGTTGGTGTAATATGATTGAGTGCCCTACTATTTTCGGGAAATGCTTACGGCTGGTAAGGTTTTTAAGCAGTCTATTGTACAGACTCATTTGCAGGAACTATGTTTGCTGCATGAAATTATATTGCAGACAAAATCAATATTTCAGGTATGATAAACAGGCTAGCGAAGTTATGCGGTTTACAAAGAACAACGCGAGCTACCCAGTTGTTTCATCTGCCTTCCCTATCGCTATGGGTACCATCATATAAACAGCACGGTTTCAAGCTTTGCATCAGGAGGACTTTGAGATGTCTGCAGTGCTAAGGTGAACTTGCTTCAGGAATGCCGCGCAGACATTGAAGTAGGTTCACATTGGCATCGAGGTTCTCCCGTACGCAAATAAAGGCTCCCTAAATATTCTCACACCGCCAATGCGCTGGGTCTAACAGGTGGGAAAAACGGCCTGTTTTAACAGTATTTTAAACAAACTCGAGCCACGAACATGTCTTTCCTCTTCTACAAAACAGCGGCTAACATTAGAATACAATCCTTTATCCTTCAGAACTTGCTATATAGGGAAAAAAACCTACCCCGTCTTGTTGAAACCCACGCTGCCTTTAATGTAAATGAGCGACCACTGAGAACCAACATGTCGGCCCGTGAAGTATCGCGGCCGGTTTAGCCAGAGTAAGCAACCATGTTCGAAGTTGTCACCACCCTAAAACACGAGGCGCGCGCACATGAAGGCTCCCTACAGAAAACGCGCAAAAAAAAAATGCGGGTGGAGTCTCGAATTTCGGTCTCGCACCGAACACCACAATGTCATAGACTTTTAAGGAGTTTATATTGGTTCCTACGCAGATCTGATAGCTAAAAATGAAGTACGTAGCCATCTGTGGGTGTCAATCACCTGGCACAAGAAATTTCAGCCAACTTTGTCACGCCAGTGTCACGAAAATGCGAAAAATGCATTCTGAAATTTCTGATGTCACACACGGAGCTTTTTTCCGCTGATAACGAACTTTTGATAGTGACATATATTCATCAATTGCAGTTTATCACTATTAACAGTTCATAAATCTATACCAAGTTATTGCTTATGTTTACTGTCTCTTTAATGTGCCTGAAACTGCCACTCACCTGATCGGCACCAGCCATTTCCTTCAAAGAATTCCGCTGTCTCTTTTGGTCGCTTGTAATAGCCACGCATCACTGTCGGTATACGGAAGCAGATTTCGCCTGGCTCATTTGGACCCAGCTTGACTCTACTCACAGGGTCCACTACCTGCGTGTGCCAGGGGTTTTCTTCTAATCTGGGCGCTGTTATTTATGAATATTTCCGATAGTGGACATGCCTGCAAGTTGGTTATCACCGTCACTTTCAGAAATATACCTCAAATAGAAACTGATGTTCCCAAACTGTCGAAAAAAAATGTTTTCTTGGTCAAAATTTGTTCATTAAAAAATTGTATCCGTTACAAACCACACACAATCAGGCCTATACAACGGCAGATAACTGTTAACAGGAAGCTTTAAAATGAAACGTTATATTGTCGAGCTGAGTTATCATCTGGAAAACATTGGTGTTACTCATAATCGAAAGACATAACTCCGAAACACTGAAACTAAGACGACGTGAAAAAAAACATTGCATTGTTGTCTACGCCAATAATCATTCCATAATATACTGAATTGAACTATACGAAAAATCATTGTTTTATATATCACGTGGTCGTTCATTCAGCATATCCACTACCTAGAAGTGCCTCATCCGAAAGATCTACTAAGTTGTCGTCTGACAAGACTTATTCGACGGTGTTCATGGCTCGGTCAGCGGCGAGGGTTATTGGCTTCTCCTCAAACGCTACAAGGTCAGTGAACTTCTCATACGGAGTCTCGCTCTTGACCTCCACCAGAAAGTACCCAATGGCCATCTTCGTGGCCTTGTAGCTATTTCCGATTGTCTCAGTGAGGTGCCTGGGTGCAAGGAGTGGTGATATGTTTCGAGCATTCTTGTCAGGATACGCACAATGACTAATGTGGTACTTGGAGAATGAGTTATGTTTATTTTTCTTTGTGGGGGGGATGTGTACTTGCATCTGTACGCCACTTCTTTGTGGGGCGATTCGTGGGTAATTAGTTTGATTCCACGAAAAAGGTTGTTCGTTCGGCAACCGCGCCTACAACGTGACAGAACATGTGAGCAGGTCTGCACAAAGCCTGCAGCACGCCATTACTATAACCAAATCTGACTTAAAACGTCAAAAGATATCACTTGCCACCAGGAAACAAGGAAATAAATGGAAGAGAAGACAATACAGAAAAAGGTATAATTGAAAGGAGAAAGAAAAATAGATATTTAGAGAAAGATCGAAAAAGACGCCAAGCCGGTGCTAAAGGGGTACCTTGCATTTGCCAGGAGGCCTTAGAAATCCAATCACCCAGAGTAAGTCACACTACCCCCACATTTACTTTCCCCAAATATGGCAATGCCATGCACGGCTAAGAGTGAAAAAAAAGTTGATTCCCCCCTTCCCCCCCCCGCCCATAGGCTCAGGTCCGTGGTAACACCACTCACAAAACACCTGCTTGAGCAGACACCCCTGCGGGCCCCTTGCACAACGAGTGCGAGGAAGGAAGCAGGAAAAGAACTTTATTTTGGTCCTGTGGAAAGACTAGTGTAATCCCACTTTTTTTTTCTTCAGATGCGACGCAGTAGAAAGACTTTGTCTTTCTGTTTCGACGTGAAAACGGCACGCTACGAGATGAAGCGCGTTCCGAAAGTCTCAATAAAGTTTATTCATTCATCCATCCATCCATCCATCCATGCAGGAGTACCTTGTTTTGCTCAAGCAAGAAAAAGTGACAGTTTCAACGCAAGGGCGATGCAATGAATGCGACATCAAAAACTTGGAATGAAACATTGAGAACGGCAAGCACATTGAAACGTGCAGCGTTCTGCTCACGCACAAAAAATACACGAAAACAATACACACAGGATGACAGCTAACTAACAATGTTTACAGATTGGCAATCAACGTGCCGTTTAAACAAAAACAATGCACAAAATGTTATCATCGGTAGAGATATGAGTGCAAACTAACTACTGTCCCAGTTACTTCGTTTTGTTTAGCACGCTCTTTTCGACAACCCGGCCTGTCCAGCGAGCGAAGTGATCTTTGTCCGTTCGGCAACTGAACGCAATCATTCGATCAAAGCCAAAGGCGCGCGATTCTCCCCAACCACAGGATAAGTGCGCGGATAAAGCCCCCCTCCCTCCGCGGAGCAAAGCATGCGTGGGAAATGAGCATGCATCGGCGCATAGCAACGAGCTAGAAGCAGATTTTGCGCTGAACTACACTGAGCGCACTCATCACGCTGTCTCGCTCGTAATGCTCAGAATGCACTATTTCCCAGTGGTAGATATAAATAGATTGTCGTTCAAAAGATCTCTTTGGTGGCTCAGTGGCTAACGCCGCGCGTTCACAAACGTAGGTTCGGTGTCTCGATTCCGCGCATCAAAGCCTTTATCAGGATTATTTTCCTTTCTTGTGTTTTCATATATACAGATACCTATACATACATGGGTAGTGACGGCGATTCCGGTGGCAAAACCCAGCCGAGAGTCTCCACATAATTGCATGCGATAGGAACTTCGGGGCTACTTAAGCTTTAATTTAACAGTTGACAGCTATATACTGTCCTTAGTGCACACTCCAAATACTAAATGAATAAAATATTTGCGAGCTAGTTATGCACCGGCTACGTCGAATTTAGAGAATAGGAGCAGGGACGCGTGTGCCTTTTGTAGTGGGTGACTGGCTTTAAACATGGAAGTCATTATGCTACTCGCATGTTCTGGTGCCCGATGGACATCTGGTCACGTGTGTTTGTAAAGCATGAAGGATACTATCACTGCATTTCCAAGCAGAGGCAATTATCTTCATCGTATTCGCAAACAAACGTGTGGCTGTGTGGTAGAACACCCGCTGGACACGCAAACAACCCGAGTTTGATTTCCAACTCGGAGCCGGAATTACTAAACAGTATTAATTTAGATTGTATCTATCAACTTTCGGTCACGAAGAAGATATTTTTTCGCTCACAACCAACATTGCCGACGCCGGAATTTCTGCAAAATGTGCTCTTTACACAAGAGCGTTAAAAATCATCTAACTTGTGTGCCCCACAATCTTTTTGACATACACCAATTCTACGACAAACAAAATGCAGCTGGGCTAGGTACGTTCCCAACAAAAAGAAAATATTTCGAGATATTCTTTCCTTTAGAGTTGGTGGTGGTTCCTTTCATAAATACACAAAAATACGAAAATAGTGCTCGTGAACCAAGTTTCAAAACTGCAAAATTCTATTCGTTCCAACTCGTAGTGAACAGTTATACAAATACCTTGATTTCAACCATGGCCCCTGGAAATCCCATGCCAATTCCTACCGCCTCGTGCAGAGAAGTTGAACAGACGATGCCACCGCTCTCCGTCATAGTGTACATGATGACCAAGCTGTCGAGATTCTCGAATGCCTTGAAGGCCGCATCATACGTTGTTTGTGAAAGTACACCACCGGCCACGCCGATGCGACGAATGCTCCTGATCTGCTTTCCGTCACGGAGCATCTCTTCTGCTAAAGTCTGAAGTCGCGTCGGAAATGAGAACATAGACGTAATCTGCATGGAAGAGTGAGCAATGACGGTAAGGCGACACAAAGACTTTCTTCAAAGGGTGATGAAATGTTTACCACTAACACCACCGTAGAGGTGATGACCATTAAGGTGATCAGTAAGGTTCTTACAGATGAGCGATATACAAAAGCAAGCAAAGCCATATCGACTCATGGAATTTTTCATCATCTATCGCGTGAATACGTATTTCATATTAGAGTGTAGAGACGTCGTAATCTCGTCTCCTTTATCTAGCGAACGTTTTCTTTCGACAACGGCCTAATACATTTGTACCATATTTAAATGGCTGAAGATAGTATAATAGAAATTGTACAAAGCATTAGGTAAAGTAATAAAATTTGTTGGAGATTAATGTCCCAAAATTGCGATATGATTATGAGAGACACTGGAAATGTCGGCCACCTCTGCTTAGTGATGTGCGAAGAGTGCAATTTAGAACTGAAGTGAATAGTCATTAAGCCGAATCGATTACAAATACTTATCGAATACTACTTCAACTAATTTGGAATAGTACGGCAAATTGTTTCCAGATATATGCCTGAAATACTATACCACCTCATTTCGAACGAATATTCAGAAATTTTAACATAATAAAAGCGCTGTTGCATCTAACCAGCAAAAAATACCGCATTCATGTAAATCGATGCAAGTTTATACACAGGGTATACGGACTACAGCCTTCAAAAAATAGTCTAATCGTAGTATGTGTCTTAGTTCTCGGAATTGGTTGTCAATTATACCGCAATGTTCGTAAAACGTTAACTATGGTTGCAGTCCTGGCTATGCATTCTTATAAACAGTACATATGTATTTGTATCATACACCCGTCACGTTGAGATAACAGCAATCGTATTGACTGATTGATAAGTAGGATTTATATGTTCGAAAACCACTTCATGCTTATGAGAGACGCCGTAGTGAAAGGCTCCGGAAATTTCTACCACCTGGGGCTCTTTAACGGGCACCCATAGGAGCACACGGGCCCACAAGAATTCGCCTCCATCGAAAATGTAGTCGCCGCAGTCAAGATTCGATCCCTCGACCTATAACTGGCAATTGCAGTAAAGCGCCATCCACTAAAGCTTTTTTTATAGCAGCATCCAGGGCCGCCATACTTGCTTGCACAAGCAAGGCATATAAGCGTACCACTTCTCATTGTCGCTTACATCGTTATTGTGGTTATTTTAAACCACAACCTGACCTGATTCACACAATTATTGTAAGACGTTGCCTATGTAGACATAGCCTTTGAAAATTTCGTGACCACTACGAGGAACGCATATGTCATTGACCACTTCTTTATAAGAGGTGTCAATTTAAATTACCTAGTTCTTTAGTGTACAGGGACCCCTCATCACTCCATTAACGGACGGTCGCAGAAACAACTGTACTTCAGCTCCTGGTGCTCACATTTCACAGTGACCCATCGACACATGGACGCGACAGATACGTCAGAGATGCATACGTATTCGTTATGTGTGCACACGTAACCACCAACACGGGCTAATGAAACATTTCAGTCTACTTTACTTCATGCTGGTAGTGCGTGTATTTAACGTCCTCATATCGGCAGGCATCGCCTAACGTCGATTTGCAAGGTGCGTGAGATATGCGAAACTTTTTTCTTGCAATCGTCAAGCCATAATTGAGCGTCTTTTTTTTTCTCGTCTTCTGAGCCATGTATATGCCTTCGCATGTCTGGAATAAAGAATCATAATGAAATACTTAACGAATAACTTACATTATGTTCATCAGCAAGTTCAGTGATTTCTTGAAGGCTGAGGCCTGGCTGCGCAAGGACGCAGACCGATTCATCGAGGACAGCCATCAATCCGAGCAGCAGTCAAGACAGGTGGCCGATAGGAGCTGAAGCGAGCAGAGTATCCGTTTCATCTGATGACATACAAGGCCTGAAAAAGAAGGTTTGTCACGTTTGCCCGTCGCACTTGTTTGTCCTAGCCGAATATGTACGAGAGAAAATGATTCGAGCTTGAAAATCAGCAGACTCGATGCGCAGCCACATGTCAGATATTGTTCCTCAATACGCTTATGTTGTTTAAATAAATTTCAAAAAAATATAGTACACATATCTTCTAACAATCGCTTATGCGGAACAGGCTCACACGGTCTGCTGATCGAGCTGCCTCCGCCGCTGTTAACGTGCTTTTGGAAATCATTATTGCGTTACTCCTCAACTGCTCGTTCTAATAAAAATTTTCCATTAAAGAGCGCCCACTTTTATTTCTTATTTAGAATCTGACTGCCTAAAATGCAGCTAGTCAATGTTGAAAAATATTTGCACCACATGCTCAGTGCATATATATGACTAAAAGTTATTTCTGGACAATGCAGAGAAAACCAGCTAACTGCTGCAAATGAAATTTTAAAACCTTATCAGCCAAATAGTTACAGACGCCACATCTTTTTTCACTTCTGTAGGCTAAGAACCCTTGGGGTATTTCACTCGAGGAGCTTCGGGGCTACGTGGACAATTTCCAAAGGGTAGTAACGCAAGGCGGCTTAACTGGCGGCCACTTGCCGCGTTTTTGTCCTAGCAGTCTTTATGATCACCGGAGCAATTGCTCAATTCACCGTAATCACTGTCTGTATTAGTTGGCACACGATAAATATCTGTACTGTAATCATCATCAAAAAAAAGAAGATGACAAAAATGAATAGCGTTTTTTTCGTATTCATGTGCCTGCTATGCATGGGTCACCGCCACTGCACGCCGTTTTTTCATACGAAAATCACGCTCATGCCAAACGGTAAAAAGAAATCCTCGCTAAAACGCTGCCATCTGGAAGATGACACGCAATGTGAGTCGTATGTGCGCGCTCTCCGCCTGAAAACTAGAAAGGAGTACTTATTCCGCTTGGACAAGTTCTATTTGTCCAAAAACGTTTGGTGACAGTTGAGGCAGGACGAGCTCTGTTTGTCCGAAGCAGTTAAGGGGTTAACTGCCCTACAGGAGAAATGACATAAGTAGCTTCAACTCTGCGCGAAACGCTCTCGGCGAATATAGGAAAGAGATGGACCATCGCATCAACTTTAGCACAACCAGGGTCATCGACACGTAAGGTGGCCGCACGAAAAGGCAATTCTTATTGCTGATGTTCACGTTCCTATAACATCCGTATTTCAATGTGGGTTTGCGGTTTGTATCTTTAGTACAGCTCAGGGTAATCCACAAGAGGATAAAAAATGCAAATATAACATTATTGCAGCGACACGTTTCAATGTTTGAAATGTAACAGGAACGCGTTCATTTCCTAATAAAGGAACCTGCTCAGTGAGTTCAGTTCAACATTACGAAGAAATTAAAGAAGAGCTTTCGTTCCTATTTTTGAAGAACGTGAACATCGCTGTAGATCTCATGGCATTTTCTGGCTGTTTCAGAGATAAGAGTAATCTTGAACGTGTCTCCCTTAGAAGAAACTATTTGAAGGTCTACTTCTCTACTGACGAAAGTATGGGGAAAGTGCAGTAATAGCTTCTGCTGGAATGTCGTAAGTCTAGGTGACAACAAGACAAACCTTGGTCGCAGCTTATGTGATTTTTTTTCACAAAGGTGCAAGCCAACCAATTGCAGCAACGAAACGAGATGACCAACAAAAACAATCGCCTGAAGCTTCCAAGACATTCATAATGACTGTATTCTTTCTTGCAATATCGACTGCAGTGTTGTTGTCGTGCATACGCTAGCTCATGTGCGCCAAGCGTCTTATCAAGGAAAGCGCCAAGCGCAAGCACATGAAGTGCACTGTATTGGGGTTATACGATGAAGCATGCTCATTCGCCCTCTTTATTGTCGTCAGTTTGCGTGTCTAAAAAAAACTAAGCTCATCCGCCATGCGCACTGTACAGTTCACGCCATTTTTGACGTTATTCTCTCTGCCACACTGCATTCTCCAAGAGTGTACTAGCATTGCTTCTCGGTTCTTTACCATTTGCGAAACTTTATGCGGTCACACAAATGTAACGGCGATACAAGCTTATCGTTCGACATTCACTCATAAGACTACGTACTTCGATATGCAGAAGTTGGCAACGAAGCTATGGTGAGTGAGCTCGACGCCCTTCGGAAGTCCCATGGTTCCCGACGTGAACACAACAACGAAGACGGCTTCTCGCGGATCTCCGACAGGGCACTCTCTGAAGGCGGACTGGTCCAGGTGCTTGAATGATGCGGCATCCACGAAACCAGACACAGGACCCATTGCTAACTGACCCTGGACAAGATTGCGTTCTTGTAGAGCATACAAACAGTACTAAGTAATGGGGTATGGCGCTTTAGGCGGGCATTTTCGAATCAAGATTTGCAGTTAACTTCTATCCCTCAAGGGAATTAGCTGAATTTTGCCGCTGCATCTTACGGGTCTTTACATACGGAGCAGAAACGTGGCGGAAATTTAGATAGATACTCGAGGATTAACGCCCCAAAACCACTATATGATTATGAGAGACGCCGTAGGGGTGGCGTTTGGAAATATCAACCAACTGGGGTTCTTTACCGTGCACCCAAACACGAGCCCATGGCCCCGCAGCATTTTCGCCGCCATCAAGAATGCAGCCGCCGCAGCCGGAATTCAATCCTGCTTCCGCAGGCGGTCTGCCGCTGAAAACCTTAGCCACTACTTCACCGTATCAGGGCGGGCCGAAAATGGGAAGTCATTGAAAGGAAAATTTAAAGTGTAACGTTATATGTGAAAGGAGATAACAAAGTGGACCAGGGAACAAATTACTGTTAAAGACATAACAGTCAAAATTTAGACAAAGACATTGCATTGACACGGCATGCAAGTCAAGATAAGATAACCACAAGCCATTAACAGTAACTGAGTGAGGGAGCCAGGCCGCAGAGTCAGTCGGTATCGCAGTAAACATGCGCGAATTCTTTCGCCTCACAGCCACCTATTTATAGCTATGAGCTGTCTATTATAGGCCCTGCTTTACAGAAACGCTAGCTACGTTTATACCTGCAGGCAATTTTGTCACGCCACTGTGAGCGTCGATGCAAAGAAATAAATGCCTTAGTGGAACGTTTTCTAGAAAAGTTGGAGGGGCAAAGCATTTTCGCTGATGCTTCAGAGGCACGACGTCACGCTTCTGCCAAGGTTTGATTGGACCTTGCGGCACTGTTGCGTCACCTTATTTAGTCACTTAGCGGCATCCGCTGGCATGTACAACTTTATGCGACGTTTTTTTTGGCGTGCTTTTGAGCGGGAATACAGAGGGTGAATGCTGCATTCGTCATGGATGTGTCCTACATCATCTATAGTGCTCTGTGCCTTCGCATAAATACAAAAAAAATTATTCGATAAACATGCACGCGTGTAGATTTTGAATATTCGATTTATTCCACGTTCTTCAATTTAACGACCCTTTTGAACTTGGTCGGCCTTTATCGAACCAGCAGGATCTAAGCAGTCATTACACGTGGGCCGGTTCAGCTGATGTAAAGTACAGATTTTCTTCACCTCTCCCTCTCCTTTTTCCGTTATCAACAGCGTTGCTGTGCGATCAGTCATGCTGCAATTCACGACAACATGCTGATGAAGCTCTTGGACTCTTTCGAATTGAGTGTCCGCTGGCACCCTCTATACCAAGTACCGAAGAGATATACGAGAAAAAAAAATCACGGCATATTCACGGAATGAGTGATGATGAGTGGGGCCAAGCATCCGTCAGCCCATCAATGCTTCCGTCCGTCCATTTGTTCTTGGTTCCGTACGTCCGCGCGACCATCCGTGCGGCCATCCATGCATCCGTTCATCTGTCCATGCGTGCATTCATTTGTCCATCCATCCTCTGGTCTTTCTGTCCGGCCGTCCGTGCGTCCATCTAGTTAACACTCCAAGTATCGCCATCTCGCATCCCCTGTGACACATACCCGCTCCATGCGTTTGTCCATCCGTCTGTCCATCTGCTAGTCTGTCTTTTAATGCGTCCATGCGCTCATTCAATGCGTTCATCTAGGGAACACACCAAGTACCGCCATCTCCCATCTCGCATCCCGGTGGCTATGTAGGGCAGCGACGGAGGATTGACAGACCTACGCCTTAAAGAGCTTAGCCCCTAATAACTGCATGAGGTGAATGCGAAAGGCTGTGTGATAAGGTTTTTTATGGCAGAACGACCCACCAACCCATTTTAATAACCGTCGACGAGTGGTAGTGGTGAAAAGCATTTATTATTATATTTACAGTGAGAGGTATGAATAAGGCGAGTCTAAAGGGCCCACCTTTTATAAACCCTAGAAGGATCCCTAGTGCGGTATCCTTGAAGCTGCGTGGCGCCTTGGACTCTAGCACCTAAGGCCTGTTGGGCTTGGAAGTCAGAGAAGCTGAGCAGCACAGCTTCTCAGTTCTCTCGCGTGGGGTTAAGTGGGGGGTAGATGGAATTTGAAGGGCATGCCCAAAACACTTGATATGTGTCACAAGACTTCGCACAGTGCAGCATGTGCCCGAGAAGGCCGAATCGAAATGCTTCTGTACTGCCGGGCACAGTACAGAATTGGTGAATAAGTGGAGAAGCCAGCGCTCCTACACCCTGGTAATCCTTTACAGAGGAGGATATCACGTGGTGCCCAGTGGCATTCTTGGTGGACATGTGAAATATCATGTACATACTTGCATATATGTGCACACTTGGCTTCTAAATTATTCGGTTCAAACTGGCATGTACCACTTGCCCTATCATACCTGCTTAATGTGCTTCGACATAGTCATGAACCTTCAATAGAAGTTACGTGGCATATGAAATGAGCCAAGAAAGGTGGCTGAAATTCAAGCATAATTTAGTGATCTCTTGATCAGCTTCGTATTAGGAGTCCTATTAATAAGTAATAAAAAATCGACATTTAGTAAAACGACAATTTTTAAGGCTGCTTTGCGCTGAAAATCGCTCATCATAAGAGTATTTTAGAATGAATAAAATAAATAAACCACTAAAATATGTTATACTAATCTATCACTACGGGCCGTGATGCACCCAAAAAGCCATAGCGAGAAGCACCTACACTCATCTATAAACCATTTTATGCCAACGTTTTTAGTCTCAATACTGTTCGCTCAAAGTGAATAGTTTATCTGGGAGCAAAGATTTATTCAATTCAAATGAGCGCTCATATTCTCTCAAAAATATATGCTTGTTCAATTCACGTACCTTGAGATCAAGAGACAAAATTGCTTTCGTCACTTTTTCGGCCAGTTCAACGTCTGTAAGAACATGTGTGCTGTCACTGTCGACGATCTGGCCACGCAGCTCCCCTGCGAAATGATAGACCACAAAAGTAACACATATAAAAGAACTGGTTTTTCTATGAGTGCCTAAAAGATCAACAATAAAATTGACGTAGCATCACTGATGTTTTTTGGTTTATTTGACAAAAACAATCGTCATCAAAGGGCGCAGTACCGTCTTGAAACACACATAAGAATGGTAGGATATATCACATTAACAGGCATAGTTGCAAAGTTCCTACGTTTCACCACTTTGCCACGCCATGGTGGTCTAGTCGCTAAGGTACTTGGTTGATGTCCCGCAGGACGGAGATTGAATCCCGACTGATGTGCCTGCATTTTCGAAGAAGACGAAAATGCTGCAGGCCCGTGTGCTCAGATTTAGGTGCATACATGTTAATGAACCTCATGTGGTCGAAAATTCCGGAGCCCTCCACTACGGGATTAATATGGTCGTTTTGGGACGTTAAACCCAACATATCAATCAAGATATTTTCTTAAAAGTAAACACGATGGCAGATTTGTCTGGCTAAGTAAACTTATACGAATAAGCGGACTGTGTACATGCATTTAGCGCATAGTATAATAAAAACAAAACCTACGTTTCGAGACCCCTTCGGTCTTTTTCAGGCGGCGCTTCTCCGCCCAGCTCCGAAGCTAGCAACTTTTCTTAGTGATTTTCCCCCTAAAAATCCTACATTAAGGCTTGTATATGTATATATATATACCTTGCCGTGGGAAGGACCCGGTTCTTGCCCACGGCAAGTTATCTTTCCTTCCCTTTTCTTTCTTCAAATTTACCTCACAATTCGGTCTAAAAACCTCCCCTTTATTTCCTTTCCTTGGCATTAGGCATTATTGTCTGTTAGATTTCATCAATATTGTGTTAGAACACGAAAAAAAACAAGCCCATAAGTATACAATTCTTTCCCATATATATATATATATAATATATATATATATTGTACAGAAGCCGCCGAACACTGAAGTGGGTCGAACTCTTATGTGCTTTCTAGTGGGTCTGCCCAAAGAGAACGCCGCTCGCGCGGAGACCCCGTGTTTTGGCCGTTACTGTCGCCATTGTGTAGACTCGCTGTGTGCCGGCTAATAAACGCCATAACAAATTGGTGGAGAGTGCTACGATCCCCTTCGATGCCCTTGGAACTACGCTCACGTACGCTGCAATCTACCATGTCCCACGACGCCTCTCAGCAAACGCCTCCTCCCATGCCACCCCATGTCCCGGTGTCCCAGGATCCGCGATCCACCCATCTTCACGGGCGCCGATGGCACTGACGTGGAGGACTGGCTCGCCATTTACGAGCGCGTGAGCGTCCCCAACAAATGGGACGAGGACGGCAAGTTGACAAACTTGGTGTTCTACTTTGCGGGCGTTGCAAGTTTGTGGTACACCAACCACGCGTCCGAGTTTGCAACCTGGTCCGGTTTCAAGACTGCTATCACCAACGTTTTTGGCCGCCCTGCCGTTCGCAAGCTGCAAGCCGAGCAGCGCTTACGCGAACGCGCTCAGCAGGCCGGTGAGTCATTCACCAGTTACATTGAAGATGTCCTGGACTTGTGCAAGAAGTCGAACGACAGCATGTCCGAATCAGACAAGATCCGGAACGTCATGAAGGGCATTGACGATATGCTCCGACGCGACGTCATTCGGCCCTCGGACAGTCCATGGGCGTCTCCTGTTGTTCTTGTTGCGAAGAAAGATGGTTCTGTGCGGTTCTGTGTGGACTACAGACGGCTCAATAAGATCACTCGCAAGGATGTCTACCCACTGCCGCGCATCGACGACGCAATTGACAGCCTTCACGGAGCCCAATTTTTTTTCTCTTGATCTGCGCTCGGGGTACTGGCAAGTACCCCTGGCTGATGACGCTCGACCGAAGACAGCCTTCATCACACCCGACGGCTTGTACGAATTCAACGTCATGCCGTTTGGTCTGTGTAATGCACCTGCGACATTTGAGCGCATGATGGACACCGTACTGCGCAACTTGAAATGGCACACGTGCTTGTGTTACCTCGATGACGTTGTTGTCTTCGCTCCAGATTTCTCCACCCATCTCCAACGTCTAAAAGAAGTGTTCGCACGTGTGAGCAATGCCGGCTTGCAACTAAATCTGAAGAAGTGCCGCTTTGCAGCACGCCAACTCACCATCCTAGGGTACGTCGTGTCCAAGGATGGCATTCTTCCTGACCCAGCCAAGCTTCGGGCCGTGGCCGAATTCCCAAAACCTGCGTCCGTCAAAGAACTGCGTAGTTTCGTGGGCCTGTGCTCATACTTCCGACGCTTTATACGAAACTTCGCCACGATTATATCACCGCTGACGAAGCTCCTCGGAAGTAACGGGCCCCTCAATTCGTGGTCGTCAGAGTGCGACAACGCGTTCCTGAAGCTCCGCCACTTGTTGACGTCTCCTCCCATTCTCCGCCACTATGACCCTACGGCCCCAACAGAAGTGCACACGGACGCCAGTGGTGTAGGCCTCGGCGCTGTCCTGGCGCAGCGCAAACCCGGGTTCCCTGATTATGTTGTGGCATATGCAAGCCGTACGCTCACAAGAGCCGAGACAAACTACACCGTCACGGAAAAAGAGTGCCTGGCAATCGTCTGGGCTCTTACAAAGTTTCGACCTTATTTGTATGGTCGCCCATTCGATGTCGTCACTGACCATCATGCACTATGCTGGCTGTCATCATTGAAGGATCCCTCAGGCCGCCTCGCCCGTTGGGCTTCGCTTACAAGACTACGACATCCGCGTCCTCTACCGCAACGGACGCCAGCATGCTGACGCCGACGCCCTCTCGCGCTCCCCTCTGCCTGAAGTTAACGTGCTCTGCTCAGTATCCTCGGTTGTTGTTTCTGCCATTGATGTTGACATCATCGCTACCGAACAGCGAAAGGATAATTGGATCGCCCAACTGATCGACTTGCTCTCTGATCCGTCCGCAACGCCATCCACGCGTGCCTTGCGTCGTCGAGCTCACCATTTCGCCATTCGTGACGGCCTCCTACACCGACGCAATTACGACGCCGATGGCCGGCAGTGGCTACTCGTGATACCCCGCAGTCTGCGGTCGGAGATATGTGAATCCTTCCATTCTGATCCACAGTGCGCGCACTCTGGGGTATTCAAAACCTACCATCGCATTAGACAACGCTACTTCTGGCGCGGGATGTACCGCTACGTCCAGCAGTTCGTTCGCTCCTGTCTCGCTTGCCAACGCCGCAAACCGTCCGCACACATGTCCCCAGCCGGTCTGCAACCGCTACCTTGCCCTGACCGTCCGTTTGGGCGCATAGGTATCGATTTGTACGGACCACTTCCTCTGACGTCCACTGGCAACCGCTGGGCCATCGACGCCGTAGATCATTTAACGCGATACGCCGAAACCGCCGCTCTCCCTGCGGCTACTGCGCGTGATGTTGCGTCCTTCCTACTACATCGATTTATATTGCGCCACGGTCCACCCCAGGAGCTTCTCAGCGATCGAGGCCGTGTCTTCTTGTCAGAAGTCGTCGATGCCATTCTCACTGAGTGCCATTCTGTCCATCGCAAAACTACTGCTTACCACCCGCAGACGAATGGTCTGACCGAACGCTTTAACCGCACCCTCGGCGACATGCTGTCGATGTACGTCGCCGCCAACCACACGAATTGGGATACCATGCTGCCCTTCGTCACTTACGCCTACAACACCGCCCCTCAGAGCACGACTGGTTTTCACCTTTCTTTTGCTGTACGGAAGGCACCCGTCACACACCATCGACACGATACTCCCGTACACGCCGGATCCATGAGTGTACACCTATTTCCGAGACCGCCAGGCTTGCTGAAGAGTGTCGCGAGCTTGCCAAGACTTTTACGACGCATGAGCAAGAGCAAAGCGGCAGAAGAGTATTCGTGATGGCTCTGCCATTCTGAGCCCACCTTCCTTCCTGGTTCCCTTGTATGGCTCTCAATCCCGACCTCTGTAGCTGGCCTTTCTTCCAAACTACTCCCGAAATATGAAGGTCCCTACCGTGTGATCGAGCGCACATCTCCGGTCAACTATCTTATCGAGCCAATTGAACAATCTTCGGACATGCGCCACCGCGGGCGCGACATAGTCAACGTGGAGCGTCTGAAGGCTTACTATGACCCGCTCGTAGTGACAAGCTGTTAGGTCGCCAGGCGGCTCCCTCTTCGACCCCGGGGTAATTGTACAGAAGCCGCCGAACACTGAAGTGGGTCGAACTCTTATGGCTTTCTAGTGGGTCTGCCCAAAGAGAACGCCGCTCGCGCGGAGACCCGTGTTTTGGCCGTTACTGTCGCCATTGTGTAGACTCGCTGTGTGCCGGCTAATAAACGCCATAAAATATATATATATATAATTATATATATATATATATATATATATATATATATATATATATATATATAATATATATGTGTATATATGGTATGACAGTGCCGCTGGGGCTCTGGCACGGGCGCATACTCGGCTAGAGTAACAGAAGAACAAAGTAAAAAAACAGGTGGCCCGCAGCATGGGCGTTGCCTTGTCTCATTCCTTTACCATGGCGCAGTCATCAAAATTCTTTGGCGCCCTCCTACTGCTTGCTTGAGGTAACGCGCTTTCCTAATGAGCGTGGCCAGGCTTCCTCGTGAATGGAACCCGCAAGTCGGCCTCCGCCACAAGTATTCATCCCACCACCAACGGATGGCGTGCGTCCAGGCCTCCACAATAGTCCCAGGGAATTACTTGAACGGTGGCGTAATACTTCACACCTACAATGCGCACGGGCGCCTTCCTGGAAACGCGGTTTGCATTTCCCAAAGCGTGGATCGCAACATTCACTACTTTCACCTGAGCCACAAAACGACGCCGTCCACGCTCCTTTGGCCATGGGCCTTTTTTCTGTAATGGCAAAAATACGAGGGGATTAAGCAACGGACCTTGCTGTAATAAAGTGCAAAGGCTCATTGCTGTTTTCGGCCGGATTAATCATGGCCCATGTGCGCTCAGCC